GGCTCTCGTTCTGTTATATCATATAGAACAAAACATAGGCTGGGGTGTTGGCTCAGTTAGTAAAAGTGCCTGCTGCCAAGCTTGATGATTTGAGTTTGATCCCTAGGATCCACATGTGGAAGGAGAGAACTGACTCTACAAAGTTGTTCTCTGGCCTCCACATGCACATATGACCTGCATGTTCTTCCCCCAAATAACAATGTAATAAAAACAAAGCAAAACATATATATGTTTGTAAAAACATACAAACATACAGATGAATACTTTGGAGCCACAAAACATTTTGATTGCTAGAATAAATGTGCATATTTTACAACTAAGCTGGAATTACATTGTTACAATTTGTTTTTCTTCTCAATTCAAACTTTTCTACTATGTCCTCTATGTCCAATTTGTTAGGCTGGGACATTCATCTTGCTTTTAGTGTAGCATGCAACAGATAGCAATATACTTATTGTTTTTTCTCAAGGGGCTATTGGAACTATTCTTACTTCTTTTTTAAAAGGTTTTATTTGTTTGTTTTTATTTTATGTGTTTGAGTGTTTTGCCTGTATGCAAATGCATCCATGTTGTGCAATGCCCATGGAGGCCAGAAGAGGGCATCAGATCTCCTTTGGAACTGGAGTTATAGATGATTGTTAGCCACCACATGGGTGCTGGGAAACAAGCCTGGGCCCTCTGCAAAAGTAGTCAGTGCTATTAACTGCTGAGCCATCTCTCCAACCTTTATTCTTGATCTTGATTGAGTCCAATTTATAATTTTTTATGGATTTTACATTTGATATTGTATTTAAGATTTCTTACCTTAACTCAAATATTTTACTCTATCATCTATCTATCATCTATCTATCTATCTATCTATCTATCTATCTATCTATCTATCTATCTATCTATCTATCATCTATCATCATCATCTATCCATGATCTATCATCTATCATCTATCTACCTGTCATTTATCTACCTATTTATTTATTGTGTGTGTTATTTATATACACGTGTATGTGCAGGTGTATGCATCTCCTTGAGCACATGTGAAGGCCAGAGGAACATGTCTGGTGCCCTGCTCCATTACTTTCTGCCTTATTCCTTTGAGACAGGGTCTCTCATTGAACCTGGACTAGACTGATGGTCAGCAAGTCCCAGAAATCTTCCAGTCTCCAACTACCTCCCCAGCTCTGTTAAAGGCTTGAGGGCACAGCCACACCCAGCTTCTTACATGGGTGCTGGGATCCAATATTAGGTCCTCATGCTCTTGAAGCAAGTGATCTTATCCACTGAGACACTTTTCAGCCTCTATTTTATTCTTTTGTTTAAAAGCTTTGTTGTTTTAGGATTTTTTTTAGGTTCTGTGATTCCGTTGTATTACTTTTTGCAAAGTATTGCCCAAAGGTCTGTCCTCTAGTCATAGGCACATCCAGCTGTTCCACAACCCCTGGATGAAAAGAATGTCTTGTGGCCACTGAATTTTCTTTTCTGTCCATCTGTGTGTGGTTCTTTTTCTGGACAGTCTATTCTTTTATGTTGATCTTTGCCTCAATAACACATTGCTTCCCTTGCATAGCTTCATTTAGAAATAAGTGTTTGCCCTTCAGATTTGTGCTTTTTTCTTTCAAATTTGTTTTGTCAGTTTCAGGTCTTTTGCTTTCTTCATGAGTTTTAGAATCAGCTCTTAATTTCTACAACAAAATCATGTTAGGAGTTTCATTAGTGTTACACTGAAAGTATAGATCCAGCTGGGGGAGGACTGACACACCAACACTGTTGACTCTCCCAATTCAGGGCATAGTATGTCTCCTTATTTTGCTCTGGTTTCTCTCTGTAGTGCTTTACAGTTTATTGGGTTGTAGAGTCTATTCATCTTATGTCAGATTTATCCTATGGATTTCTACCTTGGTTGCTCGTATAGTAGTTTGAAAATTTCCAATTTTTAAATTTATCATTAGTACTCTAAAATGAACTAATTTTCTTTAGTAACTTTTAGGTAGATGACCCCAATAATTTCTATAGTTATGCTAAAAGCAGAGCTTTACTTCTCTCATTAGATGTACTTCTTTTTCTTCCCTTATTATGCTGGCTAGAAACTCTAGTACAATATTGAATAGAAGTGGGGAGAGCAAACATCCTTACTTTCTTCCTGCACTTAGAAATAAAGCATTCAATCTTTTACCA